GTTTTTGGGTTCGTTTCGGTTGGGCGCCAATTAAGCTTTTTTGCTGTAAGTGTTAGATGTTAGTGTGCGGTGTTGCACAAAATGAGTAGACTTCAATAATCCCGTGGCGACGACCGACGTTCTTTATTATCAAAAATCAACTAAAGTACAGTGACATAAATTCTTATATCCAAAGCTAGCCCTAAACCCTGATTATGCTGACATTGCATATTTACGCGAGGCATCGCATTACTTCGGGCAACAACATTGTTGCGCGTTGGAGCCACTGCTGCTGTTGTGCAATATCCGCTGGGAACGGCTACATTCATGCTGACGGCGCGTGATCAATCTGAACATTTATGTTTTGCTGGTCGATTGTGTTAACTTACATATATATTTGTATACACTGTTCTTGGTGATCAAATGAGGTATATTCAGTTAGCTATATATGAAAGCAAACTCGATTGAATTGAAGCTGGACTGGCTAATATGTATAATATTGGATATCTATAAAATTGGATATCTATCTGCAACGTCACTTCAGATAACTTATCTATAGATAACTGCTCTCTTTCTCTCTCACTTTTTTCAATCAGCTGAAGTTGCAAATAAAAATAATATTATTTTTACAACAGTAAATATGTACAGATGTATCAGTATATAGGAAGGTAGTTTGATAACTTTACACTTTTAAACAAAGAGAAAATTGTGGACAGTGTATAATGTAGTTGGCAACACGCCAAAATTTTGTTTACGGGTTTTCCACGGCACATCTCCCGTCTAGAGTTCATAACAGTTAATTGTCGTCGCATATGAACAATTGATTAGCTCATTGTATTGGTTGTCTATGTAAACATTATTAATGGAATTCACAATTTAACAGGTATTTGTTTAATCATTTTATTTGAACAGGTTTTTTTTTAAATAAGTAAATCTTGGGCGGAGTTGTGAAAATAAATGATTGGTTCAGTTCAGGTTCGACATCTATCTGCATCATCACTTCAGATAACTTATCTATAGATAACTGCTCTCTCTCTCACTTTTTGAAATCATATTATTATTATAACAGTATGATCTACAAATTTGGTAATCTCGATCTCTTTTACAGCCTACAAAAGCTTTGATCCTCTGCTGTCTGATATACAGAATCGGGTGGTGCCCAAACTGGATCAGATTCGAATTGTGTTGTTCATCATCCTCATATTAGTGTTCATCAATTATATGGTTAAGTTCCTGCGCTGGCTGGGCGTCAAGCGTTGCTTGCAGCGCTGCATGGCTCGGCTGCCGTCCAAGGCACAGCCGAGCAATGGAAAGGAGCTCAATGGCATGACCATACAGAATCCGAATGCTTTCAACCGTGACATTGAGCGAGCACCATCGCAAATCTACAGTGTAGCAGGTAAAATGCAGATTTGACTACCTGCCTTGGCAGTTTTATTGATTGACAATTGTTGTTTTTACAACTAGGCGCTGCCGAGGGCTCTGTGCTGACAATGGCAACGCCGGTGAGCACTCGCTATCCGGCTGAGAATAGCACAACACCAACAACAGTGGTCACCGAAATCGGCTATGGGCAAGGATACGACAACCAGGCGATGGTCACAACGCCTGTTGCAGAGAAGGCCGTAACGGCCACAACGTCCACAACAGCGGGCTTCTAAGTGTGGCGCCAGCATTAGCATTGCGAGCAACAGTGTGCATCACATTGAAACTAGTGATATTTTTATAATTAATAATCGTAATGAAAATACATAGTAATACATGCATCTGTACACAACATATATACATATATACATACATACATATATGTTCATACACATACATTTAATCATATTAAATAAACATTTTCGATAAATCTGCTAATGACTTAACATTTTAAGAAGTTCGATAGATTGTGGTGGCTAGTCGATTTGCATTATAACGCAAGCGCAAGTAGCTGACGATATCAATACAGTTTTCAAATGTTCGATAACTTGTGGTGGCTGGTTGATTACGCTTCAGTGCTGCAAAGATGTTTATGGAAAAAGTAACTGAAATTGGCATTTAAAACAATGATTTCAAAATTGGCTTAATAGTATTGTCATTTATTTTAAAATTTCGCAATTAAAATATTAATATTGAAAGTTGGCAAACTCTTGCAGTTAACGAGTATAACTCTTATATGAATAGATATCCATTTATATTTTATGGCAAAATTTGTATGGGCTGTTGTTTGATTTCTTTGACTTTTCGATATGTAACTAGCAAATTGATATAAATGCTTGATTAAAACTAAGAAAGTCCGTTGGCTTACTAGCTAAAATGTGCGAATCTCATAAATCAGCCTTAAACGTACCTAAATATACTCGTAAATATATGGCTAAATAAATACCCTAAGACTACGTTGCTGAAACTCTTCTTCCATGTTTGTTTTGTTTGCTTAGACCCAATACTGATTTCGGCGCAGCAGCGGATTTGTGGGCGGCGCTGACGGCGGCGAACTGACAGAGCCGGAAATCGATATGCTCTGCGGCACGGATGCATAGCCAGCAAAGTCGTTGGCCATGTCGCACGACGAACTCCATGTATCGTGGTCTATATGATAGGGATTGTAGCGCTGCGGCAACATCATTTGTTGCGGATCGCACTGATCGTCGGTTTCATCCTCGTCCGGATCGTAGTCGGGAAACTCGTGCTTGTACGACTCCACCGGTATTATCTTGCAGTGGGGTATATTACTGAAGCCCGGCAGGGGGGTTGAATTGCCCGTTGCCGGAACTGAATCCGCCTCCGAGCTGGCATAATGATGATGATGATGATGGTGATGATGCTGTGGACTGACCGACGTCAGGTCCGGAGGGCAGGGCAAAGGCGGTGGCGGATCCTTGGATATGTCAGCCTTTCGCTTGCGCATATTCCGCATCTTCAGCAAGAGCAGCACAAGCAGCAGGCAAATGAGAAGAACGAAGAGGGCACAGCCCACGGCTAGATAGTTAATGGATATATCTGCGTTGCCCAGATGCACTGTCTCCGTCTCTTGCAGCTGCGCACGATACTCAATGGCCACCGTTGCCTGAGCCGGCTGCACCGTCTTGATGAGCAGTTGATAGTCGAAGCTATCGCTATCCGCCTCCGTCTCGTCGACCGAGGCGTGCGGCACAAAGTAGACGACGCCGCTGCGCAACTCCTTGTACGAGAAGATGTTGGTGGAGCGCTCATTCTGCCCGTCGGCGGCGCCATTGATTCCCGCCTGCGTCAGGCTGGTGCTCCGTATGATCTTCCTCAGCTGGCCCGTTGCGGGCATGCGGGTGATAACGAACTTGGGATTGAATTTGTTGAGCTTCAGCGAGAGCGGATTGTCGTTGACCAGATAGCAGCTCAGCCTGATCTTGCCGCCCGCTGCACTCGAGCTGGACACCGCCTCGCGCATGGCAATGTCATTGATCTTGATCACCGGCTCCACATTGACCACCACATCCACTTGGGCGGCATAGTTGGTGCCGGGCACGTAGGCGCTCACCTGGAACGTGTCATTGGAGCGATTCAGATCCGTTTGCATATAGCTTATCTGTGACAGTTCCAGCTGCTGCTGGTTGAATCTCAGCGTCGGCTGATGCTTATACAGAATGATGCCATAGAGCGGCGAATTGGTTATGTTGTAGGCCAGTCGGTCCAGCTTCACATTCGTGTTCAGCCCAATGTGTTCCAGCTTCATCGCTGCACTGGTGGCGCCCTGCTGCAGGCTCACCGGCAGCTGCGTGCTCGCCGGCAGGAGGCTGATGGGCGCCACCTTGATGGTGAAGATCTCGTAGGCCGGATTGAACTGGCCGTCGGTCACGGTGAAGCAGAAGGTCGTGGACTGCGGCATGCCGAAGTGCACATAGATGATGCGATCGTTGTTGATGTCCGCTTGCGTGAACTGATTCGAAAAGGCCAGCAGCTCCTCGGCCTGGCCATCGTTGTTCAGCTTCTTGAGCACACCCAAAGTGGGGCCGCTCATCACGTCGTAGATAATCTCCTCGGGCGGCGTATCCTTGTCCTCGGTGAGCAGCACATTCCGTGTTATCGTACGGTTCTCGCCCTCAACGACCTCCATTTGGGGCAGATGCGTGGCCAGCTGGAAGGGCTGATCGTTGATCGGATTTATGGAGACGGGTATGGTCAAATTGCACAGAAAGATGTTGCTGCAATTGAAATTGGATAATATTTAGAATTAGCTTCTCCATTGAGTTATCTAATCAACTTACCCCTGTGTCAGGTACACGCTCATTAGTATGGTATCCTCCAGGGTGTCCGTGTGATCGTGTATATAGTAAACTTTCTTGGTAAATAAATCGCTTGGATGATATCGTTGCATGGCCTTGAAATCATGGCCCAGTCCAATGCTACCATGAGACGGCTTCTGGGCGGCTTCTATAAACAATTCCGGATTGTTGATGCCCGCCCGTGTCTTCAGGTACTCCAAGATCTTGGAGAAGTCCAATTTGATGGGCACCGAACCACCCTCATCCACCGTTAGCTTCGATACGGGCAAAAATCGCAGCAATCCTCCAGATGATACGGATATTTCTATGTTGAACTTCTGATCCAATAAGCGATCGCTGCGCTCGGCCACCACGTCAAAGTAGAACGAATCATTGATGCGGAACTCCATAATGACAGCCGTATGCTCGTAGAAAATGTGCCCATTGTCCACGTCGTTCTGCGTGAACTCGCTTATCTCCTTGGCATAGCCATTGCCCAGATACTCGTTGACAATCCGGCCCAGACTGGGCGGAACAGTCACGTTGTAGCGTATCTCGCGCTCCTCATCCGAGCACTTGTAGTACAGATGATCGCGCAAGATTTGCTTCTTGGTGAGTGGAAAAACGTGCAGATTCTCATTGCGCTCGACCAGAATCTCAATGGGTTTGACCTCGATGTGCAGCAATTGAGTGCTGGTATTAAAGAGGCCATCTGTGACCAGGAAGGAGAGCTCGTTCTTGCGGGAGTTGGCGTCGTGTATGAAATAGATCTTTTCCGCATTGATCTGCGCCTGCGTAAACTGTTCGATCTTGTGCTGCGTGGAGGACTTCTCAGCCAGGTAGCCGCCGTAAATGTGATGCACAATGTAGGTGAGATTCTCCGGTGGTGTATCGTAGTCCTGGGCCACTATAGAAAGGGAGTTGAATATTATTAAGTATACACGTTTTCTAGCTGAGTATTGTCAGTTACAAGAACTTACATAGATCTGTATTCTTAATGACATAACGCCCTCCGTTCCACACCTGCAGTCCCGTATTGGTGACCATCATCGGCTCCTCATCGTTGACCGGCACCACAGCAAACTCCAGCTCGAAGGGCACGCTCTCCTTGTTCCGGGCCACGGCTACCATGGTGAGGCTATCGGTGCTATTCTCGCTGCCATTGTGGACATACTGAATGCCGCCCTGCTCGAGTTGCTTTTGCGTGAAACGCTTGACCTTTGAACTGCCCGCCAGTATGTGACCCGAACTGGGCGTTATGGTCACGATATACTCCAAGATCTTGCCACGATAGTACTCCGAGTAGGGCTGTATATCCGTCGCGCTGATCTGCACCGTCTTGCCCTCCACCACGGATATGGTGTTGGTGTGCATGTACAGCTTCTCCGGTATGATGACTATCTTGAGCATCAGCTGACGCAGCCAGGTAATCCCGTTGGTCACATCAAAGACGAAATAATCGGAGGATTGATTAACGCCCGCCTGTATATAGAACATCTTTTCCGTGTTCACTGACGACTGATCAAAGACCTTGCAGTTGTACTCGTCGTCGAAGGACATCGACTGCATCTCCAAGTAGCCATGCATCGGGGACGAAGTTACCAGAAAAGTAATATCACCTGGCGAAATGTTTGGATGGACGACCTGGACAAGTAATACGTGTGATTAGTATTAGTACTGGAATATAGAAGAGCTCTTTTACCTCGAGAACATCCCGTGAGATCAGCACACTTGTTGACTCTTCCACGTAAAGCGTATGATTCTGCTTCACCTGCAACGGCTCCCAATAGGCCGAGGGATAGATGCGAAAGATGACCTCACCCTCAGCCGTTATGTTCTTGATGTGAACCCGATATCTGATGAGAGATGAGACATACATAAATATATTTATACATCAACAACTTTCTTGTCATTAGCCTACCTCACTTTATCCATCGATGCGATCTCTGTATTCCAGTAGACCAAACGCTCGCGCTCAATATCCAAATGCGTAAAGTTGCCCAGGGATGTGAAATTCGTGGCCTTGTGCACAGTCGTGCCGTTCTCCCCTCGCTGCCCGCTCAGATACATCAGGATGCCGTAGGAGGGCGGCTTGATGACCTCATAGTAGATCTCGTCCAGCTTCATATCCAAATTGGTCTCGAGCACAAAGTCTTTGTTCTTCAGAATCACAAATTTGCCCTCCTGCACAATGGACGCGTTGGCCGGCAGCATGGATACGAATGGATCTGAGGCGCGTATCTCCAGCTGCCCGTTGACCTCGTGCTGGCGATCCGTGACTATGAACGAGGCGGTGCCCACATCTGGTCCGCTGTGCTGGAACATAATGCGTCGATTGGCAATGTCGTCCTGACTGAAGCTGTCGATGAAGTGGCCCGACTTGTAGAAGGCGCCATTGGTGCTGGACACGTGTATATAGTGAATGTCCGTGTGATTGGTATTCACGTCCGCATCGAGGTACTGCAGCGCCGTGGGATTCAGAGTGCGTATGCCATTGCGCACCACGTGAAAGACTCGCTCCACGGCAC